TGTGTGCGGAACTAATTTCAAGATGAGCATTAGATCGTCTGGAGTGGATTAGGTATGGGCAGAGTAAAGAATATCCTGAGACGTCATCCTATTCTACTCCTATATTGTCACGATACGTGAAAAGTGAAATTAACTGTGTCACTGGTGTTGTTGATTTGCAAGATTCTGATTCTGATTAAGTATGATCAAATGATGAATAATTTTGAGAATGGTGCATAAATGTAAATAACTATTGATTAAGAGAATGAGTAAATAATAAATAACGAATAAATAATTAATAAAACCATTTTTTGAAAAAAAAAAAAAAGAGTGAGTAGCAAGTTATGTGGAATGTGTAAAGTTGTAATTAATCTTGTAACTGCAAGATTGTAACTAAATAAGGCAGAATATCAGGAGTCAGCAACCTGCAGTCTGCATGCAAATTCTAGTGCATCAGCACCGTCCAGACGGTGGTGATGGCGTCTGGACGATACTACTTATATAAAAACTCAGTTGTGTAAAAAAACCAATAAGTTTCAGTTCCCTCGTAGCATGAACTAAGAAAACCAGCATCTTCCTCACTAAATCTCTTCTCAAATTTTCTATATAAGGCTATTTTTCTTCAAATTCTTTCCTATCAATCACTTACCCGTGCCATTTTCTAGGTTTTCACTTATTGAAATCAGTTGAAGGCAAGCAATTAGAGAGAAATCAGTAAAAATATGGATCCAAGACGTAGAATGAGATATTCTTTGAGTCAAGTACAAAGAGGCCAATCTTCACAACCCGAATCACCTCCACAACAACCCCAACCAAGAAATATCTACAATGCCTAGGTATTTGAGAGTGTTGAACAACAAGTCTAGTATGATACTCACTTCCTGTCTAAAACTATCATTCCTGTTTATGATTGTTTGGTCCATGAATTTTATAGCAATGCACAATTAACTGGGGAAAGAGAACACCGTGTGTTTGTCAAGGGTAGAATTTTTCAAGTTACACCAGCTACTATAGTCGATATTTTTCAGCCTATGAAAAGACATCCTAACATGCAATACTCTTACACTCAAGTGCATAATTTGACTGATGTAGAATTGACGAGCAATCCAAATTATGAATGGGGGAGACCGCATAAATATATAAAGCAAGAGGACTTGACGGATAAATACCAGATTTTGAATTTACTTATTGTTAATAATTTGTTACCTCGAGCCCAAAAAAATCAGATATATACCGAGCAAGCTTATTTCCTATATGCTTTTGGATTGGGCCACATGATTAATCTTCCAAACCTTATTATGGATCAGATGCTTGTTACTGTGAAAGGAAAGAAACCCTCACTCCCATATGCTATGTCATTTTCATAGTTATGTAGGGACAAGGGAATGATCAGATCCTTCGTGGCCGACAATGGAACATTTTGGACCATTAGACAAGACATCTCTAAAGAAGAGCCATGGAGTTCAATGCGATGAGCAACCTGGAGTACCACCAGCACCGCAAGAGGAACCATTTCAAGGAGTTGAAGAGTTTTTCCCACCATAGCAGCCTCAGCCACAAGAGAATCAGCCATATATACTAGTGGATGATAGGACTGACAGACATATGTTATTAGGATTGGAGAATAGTATCACCCAGCTTGATCAACGTATGGCTGATTATGAGCAAAACCAGGCTGAAATATTGAGAATACTCAAAGAGCATTTTGGTGGAGGCATCTACTTCTTGATCAGAGACACTGAAGATTCTATAGATCTTTGCTATCTCTTACTCATCTTTTGTTTATGCACTTAAACTTACTTTATGTTTTGAATGTTGGTTTTGTACTTGTTTTTGTTAGTTAATGTAGTTATGTTTTTTGTGAGTTAGGAGGATTATTTAATATAATTCACAGTTAAATTAGGTTATTATTCTCATGCTTTGCAAGGATAGTCTTAAATATGATCACGCGGGATTTTCATACTTTGGTTGTATATTATCTTAATATTTTTATTTAAACTTATTATATTGAGCACAAATAGATTTCTTTATTGTGAAAACCTAATGAAATATTACACTCTTTGCATATATAGTGGAGATGTAAAACCTATTGCAAAATTTGAGCTAATATTTCTTGGAGAAATATTCTACATCTACTCAAATAAGAATCTTCGATTCAACGGTAAATTTTCTTTGAATAATCTCATTAACTTTGTTTTGATTAGCACTCATTGAATTGTATTGTTAGCATTTTTCTTGAAATGTTTACTTATGAATGATACAGTTGTATGATTTCTGGAAAATGATCTTTGGTCATTTTTCATTAATTTTTTAGCCTTGACCATTTGTTTTACAAAATTATATCCTTAGTAAGCAGTGATTGAGTCTGTAAGAGTATAAATTCTTTTCATAAAACCCGAGAAATACCCAAGCTAAAAAAATATATATTAAACCTACCTTTGCTATCGAATTTTCTTGCACCTTCTTCTAAATCAGTATGATACAGAAATGAACAAGATGAAGAAAAGGTAGAAAAGAGCAAAGAAAAGAAAAGGATGATTACTATATAAAGAAAGAAAAAATTTGTGGAATAAATTTAAATAAAAAGAAGAAAGAAAAGAGCCAAGAAAGTGAAAAAACGAAAGAATGTGCAAGTTTTGGAAAGCTAGAAAGAGGTGTGCCATAATATTAAGGAAGGATAGCTTTTGAATCCCATTGACGTCGTTTCTTAACCTTAAACCAATGGCCACATTACAACCCTAAGAAACTCCTTCTTGATGCCAAAGGTCATGCATGTGCATTAATCCTATCAATCCAAAAAAGGGGAATGTTGATACTATATTTAATGTTGTGTTAATAGCCTTTCATGAGATTATGTCAAATTCCTATTTTATTCAAATAACCGTTCTTTTGATATATTACACGTGAAATTATTTGCTTTGTTAACAATACTCCAATCACCTGTAATTACTAAATGAATAATCACTATGACATATGTGTACTCTTTGTTGAGTGTATTCCAGGAGAGGATTGACATCAAGACTACCATGAAAGATGGTAATATTCCCGAAGTTATTTTATCATTGCACACACACAAAAGTTTTTATAAAAATATATGGATAATATTACAACTAACTTGTGTTACTCTTATAGTGATTAGAGAAAAGAAGTGTTCTAGCAAGGCAGAGGAATATTGATTTAATTTTATTTGTGAAAAGTATGAATTATGAACTCTGAGCTATTGAAGTTTGTAGGTATCTTCACTGGAAACCTTCATGAGACAAAATTCGTCCACTAGAGATCACCTAGGGATTTAATGGCTTATTGCATATGTTAAATGCAATCGTGAAATCTAAGAAAGTGATTTTATTTACTAGGGACTAGTAAAGTTTAGGATAGGGAATGTGATTAACCCTAATTAGTGTGCAAATTAGGATAGATTAATAAGTTAATTATGTAGATTAAAACATTTATAATATATAAATTAGGGTTAGTGCGTAAGTTAGGGTTAATGCGTGGAAAGTTTGTTATTTCAGGATTTTGTGCAAAAATTGTGGGGAGCAATTAGCTAGATCTTAAACAAGCAAGGGATGCAAGTGTAATATTAATGTAACAACCTAGAACACTATGGAAGATCATCACCACAATCCAAACAGTGGTGATGGCGTCCTGACGGTTGCCTAAGGCTGTTCAACCTTCTCCTTCATTCTAGCATCTTCATGTGGGCCTATAAATAGGCCTGGCCAGCTTTCTAAATAGGGAGTTCTTTTCTTTTTAGAAGAGGAGTTCTTGGAGAGCTTTGGAGAGGAGCTAAGGTATAATCCAAAGAGAGATTCAAGAGAATTTAGAGAGAATCCAAGGGAGATCCTGTCCAACATACTCTCCAGCCAGAATTTCTGTTATTTCTACATTTCTGTTATACCTTTCTACTTGGAGAGTTGAATTTCCGCCATCTTTGTGTCTTTATTGATATTAAGGGTGGTTGTATTTTAACTATTCCTTGGGAAATGAGTGTCTATATTTTATTTAGTATTGTAATTAAACTTTCTCACACTTCTTGCTTGTTTATACCAATGAGATGTGAGTAGTTTACTTATACCCTTCAGTGAGGGGTGAACATATGTATATTATTGGTTAAGTTATGGAAATGATGATGTTTAATTATACTTTATTGTTACATACACCTCCCTTAATTGATGGATGATTATATTTATAATATGCTCATGCTTATGAACATCGAGTGGTACTTAATATTCTATACCATACTATCTACTATTATGTACTTTATGCATGATACAGTGATGTACGTAATTTGGTGTTACATAAAAGTTGATTGATTGGTTATAGACGAGTTAAGTCTCAACATAGCCAATGCTTTTGATTCAATGTGTAGCCTGGAATTGTGTTATCAGTGTATCATCAACCTGCCAGTTGAATAACTAAAGTGATCCAACTGAATGGCTTGACCTTCTGGTTCACTAAGGATGTTTAACTGATGCATGGTATAAAGTTGTCAGATGAATAGCTAAAGTGATCCTCTTGAATGGCTTGGCCTTCTGGTTCACTAGGGTTGTTTAACTGATACATAATACAAAACTGTCAATTAAGTAATTCTAGTATTCCTCCTGAATGACTTGACCTTCTGCTTTATTTGAATTAGTCAATTGTTGCATATACCTACCAACTAACCTAAACAGTTGTTGTGTTATGGTTTAATATACATCAAACCTACCGGTTGACTTTCCAGTAACTTAGAAGTTAATTGTTGTAAGGTGACATTTCTAGTATTTAACCAATATAAAGCATATGAGATTCTTGAACTGAAGGGTACCTTTCATATTATTGTCTTTTAACAGGTTACCTACGCATTTTATTTATACAGTTAATTTTCCAGTCTATCACACATACACTACATGTTATCTAATGTTATAATGCTTTAATATTAACTTCATTGTTCTTATTTTAAATTCCAATTATGTGGGATCTTAAACCGAGAAAACTATAATTCAACCACTTATACTTGGGTGTATGATATAAAGCAGGTCAAAAAACCAAGTCCAATCAAAGCCCACCAAGAAAATCAACCTACTAAGGCAAAAGTCCAACACGACGAAAAACTTCTAAGGCAAAAACCACCAGAACAGAGGTCCACAGAAGCGGACACCCCCCTTAAATACCAAATAGCTAAGGTGAAAACCCATTGGAACAATGACTTACCAAAAGTTGAAAGATACTCAAAGGAAAGCAGGTCAAGCAACAACCAAGCAAATCAAGTGAGTACAAATAAACCTTGAAACTTAGAATATTTTTTAATTGTTAATGCTCTAGCCCATAGAATGGTTGTCGGATGTCAAGTACTGATCCCTAAACATAGAATATTTTCAAGTACTATGCTATAACCTAGAGTCCATTGTCAAATGCTAGACACTACCGTTCATCCGTTCTCCTCATGGACTTAGAATATTTTCTATATACTATGTTTTAACGTAGAGCACGATCATTGGATACCAAACACTATCATTGCCGACCTCCCCATAACCACTTAAGCAAAGATGAACTAGTCCAGTAACGTAGAAACATTCTTAAAAAAAACCCTAAAGTACAATATCTAGAGCATAGTTTTCAGATGTCAATCATTAGTGCACATGTTTTACAAAACCAAGTGAATGAGTCTTTTAAGACTTGAGTTATTGGATTAATGTGTCACGTACTAAACTTGGTTATCAAAATCCATGACATCAAAATGATAGTGATCTCCAAGAAATAAGGACAAGACAAGTAAACAACGTACAAAAGTTCAAAAAGATGTTCATTGGATTGCCAAAAAGTAGCTAATTAAAAAGCATCACAAAACAAATGAAATGAAAAAGACCCCTAATTTTCTTCAACACCTTCCATATCTTTGTTGGCCTCCCCTGCTTCTTCTACACCATTGGCTTCCTTGTAATCGCCTTCGGTGTCCACTTGAATTATGCCAAAGTCATAAATTTGGTAATAGCCTGAGCTCGGAAGGCTTCAGATCCTATCGAGTAGACCTGACCCATATCAACAAGAAAGTCTTCGCTATCCTTGTACTTGGCCACGACTTTCTCCTCTCTAGCCACTATCTTGCTCTTAGTGAGGGCCAGCTCAGACACCTTCTCCTCTAGCTCCTTTAAGTGCTCTACTTCCTTCGGCATGGCCTTTCTAAACTTAAAGTCATAGTAGAAGCATCTGCAGCTTTTTGAAGAGGGCGTCTCTCTCCTTCACTACCTTATCCAAAATCAATTCCTTCTTGGAGAGGTCAACCTTCAAAGTTGCTTCGGACTGCGAAGCTTGGAAATAAGAGCCCCAAAATCTTGGTCCCCCACACTTATCGAGGATAGGAGCTCATCCAATTGTAAAAGTCAACAAAATGTTAAAATAAATACATAGTAATAAAATGAAATCAAGTATAAGGTAATAGTTAAACATACCTTGCTCATCTTCTGACAAACCAAAGCATGAATCATAGGAAGACTCAGTTCCTTCAGCTTTTTGATGCCTCCTTGCTTGCCCTACTCTGAACCCAAGCCACAGGATTTTCTAGAGGGCCTGAAAGAAGGGTCACCCAGAATCCTGAGGAAGCTCTCCAATGACCTCCAGTTAAAGAAGCAGTAGAAGGGTCAGCTGCCCTAGTCTTCTCCAATAGGTCAACTATTGGAATGGGGGTTTTATCTCCAATAGGCGTCATCCCCACAAGGGCCACAATCTCTGTGATCTCATAGCAAACCCTAGGTCAAGAGGTCAAAAATCTCCCCTTTGGGATCTTCACCTTTTTGGCAGGAAGGAGTTCCCTCCTCAGAGTAGATTTGGCTCTCAAGGCTAGTGCAAATTTCCTATCCATAGGTTGGCCCATAGAGTCTGAACCAAGAAAATTAGAGAAACCTCAATTAAAAATGCATAAAAAAGAAGAAAAGAAATCCCAAAACAAGGAAAAAAAAAAAAAAAGAAGAACTCACTTCTTTCTTCAACCATTAGAACTTTAAAGTCTCAAAAGGAAAACTTTGTACCACGATCGACAGGAATACTTTAAAGTCCAAAAACACCTCGCTAAGGTCTGTCCTCGCTGTTGAAAAATGAAAGAACTAAGTTAAAAAGTAGTGCATAATGAAATTGCAAATAAAAACCCTGAAGAGGAACTCACAAGAAGGGACCGACACCCCCCAAACTCTAGGCACTGAAGCACGATCTCCGGACTATCCCTCCTATGGGTCAAACTCCCAATCACCAGAAAGATAGAAAGACCAAGGCTTTCAATCTTATCTGAGTCAAAGAGCCCTAACACAAGTTTGGGGATCCCTGCTTTGTGCTTAGGTAAAAGTAATCCTTCTGAGTACACTCTTTTACCTTGTAACAATAAACAAACTTCCCTAAAGTGATCGAATAGTGTCCCCCACCATTGAGTCTCCATAAAGCCATCAAACTGATAAGGGTATTCCAAGCATTAGGGACCAGTTGACAAGAGGACAGACCCAATTGAGAAAGGAAAGACAAAAAGAACAAAGGGATAGAGAACCAAAGACCAGCTCGTAGGGCTAACTCAGGACAACACACTTCTCCATATGTGGAGAAAAATCTCGTTCATGCGCAGTGGGAAATCATACCCTCAAGAAATCAAGTAAATTATACCAAGATTTCAAAGACCCTAGACTACTCTTAGTAAAGCGACACTTTGTTTCATGGGCCTCCCAAAAGAAGACCTATCAATAGAAGGGGAAAAACAATGCTCAAAACCCTCATCCCTTTGGCCCACAAATTCAATTTGTTCTGATTCTGCATTTGGGTCCGATGAACTCACCACAATATCTCCACTAATCCACCAGACATGGTATATGGGACAGAAGGACCGACAGAACCTCGACATTTGGAAATAGCTTTTGCAATTTTCTTAGGAGAACCCTGTGGGGGTGTTTGGGGTGCCAAATAAAGGCGGATATTCGTTGCCTTCAAAAACTCGAGCCACATGTTTTGGGGACAAATATCCCCTCTGAAACGGATTTTCAGATCCCACCTGAAGTTTGGGATTGCTAGAGAAGCCAACAAGAATATCTACATATTTACCTCGATGCCCATGTACAATAGAAAACGAGGGTTTTTATTCCCTTCTTTCCATTTTCACCCATTGGTTCCCCCTTTTGCTACAAACGGTGCTCACCCACAAGTCCCCACTCACAAGTGAACGACGCTCACCCACCGCCCCCACCCCCCACAAGCGAAGGTATGCCCCCCTCTCTCTCTCCGGGCTTTGTAGCCGTGGATAGAAACCAGAAAAAAATCTAGAAAATCCAGTCTATATAAATTGAAGCCTGAATCACCCGTTGACGATAACGAAATCTGAATCACTTAGAGGTACTGGTTCTCATACGCCAATGAATACCTCACTCTCCCTTGAAGGCGAAATTATCTACAAATGCCTCGCTCGTACCAAACAACAGGTCTTACAATCTCTCTCTCTCTCCCTCCCCCTCTCTCTTTCTCCGTCATTATACGTACATATTTATGGATGTGCAATTGTGTTTGTGTTTCGTGATTACTATGGTGAGTTAATGGGCTTATTCACCCTAAATTGCTCATCGGCAGATTGTATTAAGTCGTTGATCGCCTATTCGAATCCTGTTATTACAATTATCAGTCCCAGATTACCCTTCAGCGGATTGTGTAAATATGCTAAGTAATCATTCAAGACTGTTTCGTAGATCTTTGCCCCTCAATGTGATTTGATGGAAATTGTTTCAAATGCCATGCTTCTTCAATTGACCCAATTATGGGGATTCCCTTCAGAAACTGTTTAAATCAACCATTTTGCTAATTCGTGAACTTTTATTCAAGTGTTAGTAAGCAAGCTTATATGCGTTGCAGCTTCTTTGGCTGTCTTTTTTGCGGATTACTTATGTATGAGTATGGAAGAACACTTACATCTTGTACAGTGAGAGAGACCCAGAATTATATAGAAATTGAATGATTGTCTTGTTAAATTAGGCAACCGTTGGATCAAATAATTTGTAGTTGTGAACCAGTTGCCTAGTGAAGCTTTCAAACAGGTTTTGCTTCTTATAAGTTATATATGCGGAGATGGCTTCCTAGAAACCAGTTATTTAGGTAGTTTTCCATGGTTCATTTGTCTTGATTATCCGTAAAAATAGTGTGTCTCTAAGTTTGAATCTTGCTTTATGTATATGTTCTTTTAGTTTAAATATTTTGGACTTAATTGTTGTACTATTTGCTTCTTAATCACATGAGAATTATACATTTCTATAATTTTTAAGCATTTGTCTTTGTGAACCTACACCTATGTTTTGTTTTGATATCTATTTCACAATTATTTCATGTGTATAGAGAAACGAATGGGGTTGTTGATGATTTGGGTAACAGGGCTGTGAAGGATTAGTTCAGTTTGTATTTTTCATGTGTTAATTCGTTGCCGAAAATGGTCAAGTTGATGCAGCTGCTGGACCGAAGAATGCTGCCAGTTGGTAGAGTCACAAATGTGCTCATTTTTTATGATAAAGGCCAAGAAAGATTGACTGTATAGTGATTTTGAATAATTTTTCTTTTTAAGAGAAGTTTTGTTGTTTTTACATGTTTTGAAGGAGGTTTGGATAGGGTTTTTCCCTTTTGCTTCTTGTAATTTTTTTAGTGATTGGAAATAAAATTTTCATCTTTTTTATTTTAAAAAAAGGGTTAGTTAATGTTATGGTTTTTTTAATATCTTTTGTGGATGAAATATCTTTGTAATCATTCAAATTGTTGGTAGTTCTAATGCAAAAAATTGAGAAGTTCCTAGAAACAAGATCACTTGATTAACTCATATCCAATTTCTAGGTGGTTTAGGACTGTTGTGTTTTGCTACTACTATTTTTATTGTCTGTCTTCCTGCACTAAACTATCAATTTCATTCTCATTTTCCTGTCCAAAGTATCACGACAATTTGCCACAATTCATTATAAAGTATACTTGCAGTTTCCATCATATTAATCTTTTTCTATTCATCTGAGAACTGGAATTCGTGCCTTGCCCCTTGCAGGCCACATTTAGCAATAATAATTTGTCAGTTTTCCTTCATACATGCTCAATAATGATCTTGCTCTGTCAGTTTTCCTTCATACATGTATATTTTTTCTTTGTAACACAAGTTTTGTTCTTTTTAACATGTTTTGAAGGAGGTTTGTATACGGTTCCCCCCATCCTGGCTTCTTGTATTTTTTTTTGTGATTGAAAATAATTTTTTCTTCATTTAATTTTTAAATAAAAAATTGTTAATTATTACTATGGT